TGCAATTTCAATGGATGACCATGGAAATCTTTATGGAGTAGATTCATTTTGAGGAAAGGGTTGAAAGGTGAAGTACTGAGCCTCATCTCACCACTAACTTTCTACCCAATGTAAAGTGACTGTCATGACCTTGGATGTGCGGGCTTGTCCTTCATTTTAGTGGTGTGATTGTTTTAGTGTTTTTCTTGTTAGGTTTTCCCATGCAAAGGCACTCACTATTTCTTTTTTCTTTTTGAGTGTTTTAAAAGGAAATTTAATTTTTTATCAAATGTCATTTAGGCCCACAAAAATGAGCATAAGAGTTTTTAAATTTTTACCTCTTTATGTATAATATGAATATTAAATGGTTTCTGATCATGATGCATTACACCTTTAGTGCGCTGATAGACTATTTTGTCTAATATTTTATTTAGAGTTTTCCATTGGTATTCATGAGTGATATCTCTCTCTGATTTCTCATTTGCAGCGCTTATAATTCTTGAAACTCTTGGTATGGATACTTTGTTTCAGGAAGCAAATATGAATAATACCCGTTTTGTTCCCCATCATTAACTGTTTAAGGAGTGGTATAATGGTCCCCTCTTGAATGTTTGAGAGGCCATTAAGATTCTACTGGGGCTTTTTGGGTGAGGTTTTGAATTAAGATTCTGTGGTTGCTGGTCAGCTGGGGCTGAAGAATCAGCAGTGACTGTCAAGATGAGCACCACTGAGGTGACATCTGCGGCTAAAACAATGGATGTTACTCTGCTGAGGCTTGGGAAATTTGGGGCTGCAATTTCTTTTGACCCTAAAGTTGTTCAAAGAGAGTTTCGTTTCTAAATTCCCAAGCGTGATTGTTTTCTAGCTTTCTGAAACAATCCATAATTTCTCACTAAATCATGATTAAATGGTAGTGTCTGCAATATGTCTACTTTCTGGGATTTGTTGAACATTTTTGGTGGCCTAATAGGCACGTAGAAAGAAGATCCAGTCTCTGTTTTCAGTGTGAAGACGGTGATGCAAATCAGCCGTTTGCATTATTCATTTTACTTTAGCTTTTGTATGAACATACTTCTTTTCTTACTCAAGCTTTCACAAACTGAAAGTTGTGTGTTAGAATATTGTCTAATTAGTATGCTTCTGAGGATTTCCTCTAGTGTCTCACACACAATTCCTGCTTTGTACATGTGGCTGTCGCATTATTTAATGAAGAGTCATAACATCTTGTATCTTTATTGAAAATTTCGCAGTCTAGGGGAAGGTTCCATTATTTGTTTAATTATAATAGAAGCTTTGGGACCTAAACTCTCTTTCTTCTTGCCAATATTTCGACCTCTCGTTCTGTTTTCTTTGTATTTGCCTAATATACCTAATGGGACTATTTAAAACCTCAGCCTTTAAAATCAAGTTGTTTTAGGTGTGTGCTTTACAGTGAAAGTAGGATTTGCATTTCTACTCATATTTTAAACCACTTTCTTCAGCAGATGAGCCAAACTTACAGATAACTATTTATGTTTAACTCTACTTTGTTGGTTTTGTGATTTTTGTTTTTGTTTTTTTTTTTGAGACAGGGTTTCTCTGTGGCTTTGGAGGCTGTCCTGGAACTAGCTCTTGTAGACCAGGCTGGTCTCAAATTCACAGAGATCCTCCTGCCTCTGCCTCCCGAGTGCTGGTATTAAAGGCGTGTGCCACCAACGCCCGGCTCTGGTTTTGTGATTTTTAAAGAAAGTTTTCATTAAGCAAGCTGTTTTCACTTTGTATGTTTGTGATCCTTAAGAACATTGTGATCCTTAAAATCAGGATTTACTCTTCCTTAATCACATTAGATTTTAAAATTTCTTTTGACAATATTTGTTTCTTAACAGAATCAAAAGGAAAGGCATATTTCTCACTGCATTTTCATTGAACACTCGATTGCATTCACTAATTTCCCCAATGTTTCACTAGTACCCATTCACACACACAAGGTGTATTATGCTCAAATTCCTTTCTATTTTGAGATATGTACTATATCCTTAGTATGTCTACCTTGCCATTCTTCAGAACATGGCAATTCAGTTTTTCCCATCTAATGATGCATGATTAAAACTTAAATTGATAACTTATATTCCACAATTCAACTTGGAGATTTTAGATCTGATTTTTCTATCTTTTTTATATTGTGAAAAGTTTATTTGCATTAATTATTAACTTCTTTTTTTCCACCATCGTAAGAGGTACATTTGTTTTTTTTGTGATCAGAGAAAAGACATTTTGGAATGGACAATCTGATTCTACTATTCATTAAAGAATATTTGAAGTCGTAAAACAACCCAGTGCAACAATTTTCAGTAGTCCTCCCATCTCCAGTGTAACCCAGCAAAATATTCATATGTAAGAGATTCTAAGTGTCAAGTTGCAATTTACCATCTTTTCCTACATGGTCTAGAGAGCCAGGGAGCCTAAAGCAACAGTGGTCACACAAATTGATAGACCATTAACTAGGAGTGCCTTACTTTTAGAGTACATGGCTTCAAGTTCTTCAAATTTCACACATCAGAAAGTGGAAGCAGTGACTTGAGGTAGTGGCTGAAAGCTTGTATTTATAATGATGTTCAGTAACCAATAACCTCCAAAGACAATTATTAATTTATCCTCTTAGACCTGATCATCATTGAGGCTGCACTACATTATTGTGGTGGTTTGGGTAGGCATGGCCTCCACAGACTCCTGTGTTTGAATGACTGATCAATAGGGAGTGGCACTATTAGGAAGTGTGGCCTTGTTGGAGTAAATCATGACCTTTTGGAGGATGTATGTCATTGTGGGGGCAGACTTTGAGGTCTGATGTGCTCAAGCTATGCCTGTTATGTCACATAGTCTCCTTCTGCTCCTGGAGGATCAAGTTGTAGAATTCTCAGTTCCTTCTCCAGCACCATGTCTGTCTGTACAATACCATGTACTTCCTTGATGATAATGGACTAAACATCTGAACTATAACCCAGCCCCCAATTACATGTTTTTACTTATGAGAATTGCTGTGGTCATGGTGCCTCTTCACAATAATAGAAGCCCTACTGAAATAATCACCTATTTTATTATTCCCACACTTTGTCAAATATCTATTACATGTGAGAACTATGTGGTGGACATGAATGGATTGTTTAATTCCATTTGTGGTTGTGTGACAGTGTTATCTCATGTGGAAGGTGCTATGTATTGGATGTGTTCTTCAAAGGCCTATGTTTTGAAGACTTGATTTCCAACCCATGGCTGTGTGGGAAGGTGGGAGAGTCTATAGAACGGTGATTCTCAACCTGTAGGTTGTGACCCCATTGGAATAGAATGACCTTTTCACAGGGGTCACATAAGACTATCAGAAAACACAGATATTTATATTATGATTAATACCAGTAGCAAAATTACAGTTATGAAATAGCAATAATTTTATGGTTAGAGGTCACCACAACATGAGGAACTGTATTAAAGAGTCACAGCATGCCTTTAAAGCATGACCAAATGTCTGTGAACTAAAAATCTCTGGAAACATAAGCCAAAACAAACTCTTTCTCTTCCTCTTCTCCTTCCTCCTCCTCCTTTTTCTCTGAGATGGGGTTTCTCTGTGTAGTCCTGGAACTCACTCCTTGGTCCAGATTTGCCTTGTACTCAGAGATCTGCCTACCTCTCACAGCCTGCCTGCTGGGATTAAAGGTGTGTACCACCACTGCCCAGCAACTATTTCTCTTCCTAAGTTGACTATGCAAGACATTTTACTATAGGAATGGAAAAACACGCAAGCTTTGGTAACCTTTGTAGCATACAAAAATTATGCCACTGGAGAGTTAATATGTAGATAGTTAAGATAAAAATCCACAAGGATTTTTAGATTGTATCATGAAGTCAATTGCATTTAATATAATAATTTGTGGAAGACATTTTCCCAAGTGGAACCTTAAAACTATTGTGGTTGGGAGCTGTCATGTGCCAGGAAATTTTCCATGATGTCAGGACTGTGGGAAGAGCAACATGACTCTGAAAGTCTTCTCTCCTTTTCCTTTTATAAAAATAATGATCTCCCTTGATAGAAATTATCACCCTGTTTCTGTGGATGTCACTGTCAATGTTTATTCAGTAATTATTTGGGAAGCATTTGTAGTCACACATACTTGGTAGTACATCTTGGAATGCAATAGTGTGCAATATAGATAATTTATTCCATCAAAGATTTCTAGTCTGCAAATAAATACATACTCTAGAGTCATCATTGGAATAAATAGCTTGAAGGACACTGAGGAGTCAAGGATTTGTTCTTTTTAGTAGAGATAAGTAGACTCTCATTTGCCAAAAATGGTAAAGTCTTAACGCTGTAGCACAAAATGTGTTTCCTCAGACAGTGAAGTCCGACAACTATTTGCATCTCTCATATTGAGGGTGACATGTTCCAGCTTGTTTTCTGTTTCTACGATAAAAAACAGGAGCAAAAGCAACTCGGGGAGGAAAGAGTTTAGTTGACTCACAGGTTGAGGTCTATCATCAAAGGAAATCAAGGCAGAAATTCAAGGCACAAACCTGGAAGAAAGAAATGAAGCAGAGGCCATGGAGTAATGCCTGATCCTGCAATCAGCTGGCTTGATCCTGTGGCTTGTCCAAACTGTCTTTCTTATATAGCTCAGGCCCATCCGCCAATGGATGGCAATGCACACAGTGGACTGGGCCTTCTTTATCATTAAGAACATGTCTTACAGACACGCCCACAAACCTGCCTGATGGAGGGAATTCCTCAGTTGAGGATCCCTCTCCCACGTATGTCAAGTTGATAACCAAGATTATCCAGCACACATATAGCCATTCTGTGATTTTGTGGCGCATATCTAGAGACACAGGTACTCAAAATCAGCACTTGAGTACAGGTTTCCAAAGTCTGGAATTTTCATTGAAGGTTGTTCTTTGTATATCAATATGTGAACATATTTGAATAACTTTGCCCTGTAGTCATTTGACAACAAAAGCTTAAATTTTCAGCTCACGTGTGAGCATAGTGCTTAGGTAAACAGGCTTTCTGCTGGCATCAGCAGCTATTCTGTGACACAAGATTAAGCATCCAGAATGATGGAGGAGGAAGTGATTTAAAGAGAAAAATAAGACACAGCTTTCTTCGAGATTTCCTGCTTATTGTACTGATTTGCATATTCAGTTTGAGAGTTGTGTCCTATTGTTTTAAGACAAAAGGCTGTTTCTCATAGGCTGCCTATAACTTAGACATGACAAGAATCAAATATTTTGTCATTCATAGCTATTGAAACAGTTCTTGATTATTGATGCTGTAAGAAAATTTAAAATTGTGAACTTTCTCAACATGCTGCTTTAATTTTCATAATAACCATCCTAATTTGGGGTGCATATGTTTTCAGAAATATTATGAACAAACGTAAAGGTTGACAAGAGGTTTAATCTCTTGAAACACAAAGAAGCAGTTTTTTTCTGGAAGGACATTAGTGGTAGGGGAGAGGCCCACACAGTCCCCTTTGGAAAACATCTCTAGAATTCAACAACTTTATATTTTGTTTTCTTCAGGTCTGGTTATTAAAGTTTTTAGTATTGATGGTAGTACCATCGCCTCAGGTATTTAAAACTGATAACTTTCCTTTCTTCTTTCTCCCTTTCTCTCCCTGTCTCTCTGGAAACCCTCATACATCATTTCAGCAGTTTTAAGTATAGAGCAATGTAGGTTAGGAAAGGGAGTTATTGATTTAAAGTTACTTGTAGTGTAGCAAGAGAAGCTGCTCAGATGTAAACACAGTCACACAGTTCATAAATAATTATGCCACAAAACATCTTTCTCAGAAAGTTGTCTGGCTATGATGCCAGGTATAAGCAGCTGTGACAAGCACATATAAATAATCTTAAACAAGGAAATCGGGATAAAATGAAGACTGAGAGCTGAAAGCAGGATTGGTGATGGATAGAAAACAGTGGATTTATAAATATGGAAACCAAAACTTCCAAGTTTCGGACTGAAGATGATTCTGTGACTAAGAGTGCTTGTTATTCTTGCAGAGGGTCCAGATTCAGGTCCCAGTACCCACATCAAGTGACTTACAGCTGCCTGTGACTTGAGTTCCAGGGTATCTGATGGCATCTGGCTTCTCTGTCACTTACATAAATATGGTACACAAGCATACAAACATATACATACATAAAACTAATAAATTAATCTTTATAAAAAACTAGGATGTTGTTAGATTGCCACTTCTGGTTATAGAATGTATTAGAAATGCTTGAAACTGATAGAACTTTCAAAGGAGTCTCTGTAAATCCAGGTGAAATGATTTAATGTTCATTAGAACTCACACAGGGCACATTTGGAAGAGATCCAGATGGTGGAACCAATGTAGGGCTTTGTCTAGGGAGTAGAGTGTCGTTGGGCTTTAAAATCTATGACTGAAACTCTTTGATAATCCTTGTTAATTTTTATTGTTTGATACTTTTTCTGTTGTTGATGTGAGCGGTAGAGGTAGACTCCCATGCTAGAAAAGAAGATTCTTTCTCTGATATGCAAACTTTAATTCAAAGCACAACTAATTGAACTGGGGAAATAGTGTTGTATCCTGTCACTGTTTCAAACAGACAAAAACATATGTGTTTACCTTAACTTGAAAAACATATTCCCAGAGGTTCAAACTCTTCCAAAATGGTTAGGGAGAAAACATTAAGGTCATAGCCTTGAAAAGACATTATATTTGAAATTGAAGACATTACCTATGAATCTTTCCTACAATTATATACACAATCACTGTATATATTATTTGTGATGAAATCACTTGCCTGGGTCCACAACTGGAGAGTCTTCAAGTGTTGGTTGTGTATGTTCAGAGAGAAAAAAATTAAGCACACAATCACTCTGAAAAAAAAAAGAGATAAAATACAGTAGTATAATATTTCTTTATTTCTTACACTTACCTATTAATTCTGTTCAGTCTTGCATGAAAACAATGCTGTTATTATATGATAATAAGCCTCTTTTATGAATTCCATAGAGAACAATTTATTTGCAACCATTCTGTCAATATAATTCTGCTGTGAATTAAGCTAGTCTTTTTATATGGCTTGAGATCAATTACATTTCAAGAAATTCAAGGTTGCTATGTTGCTGGAGGTCATCATAAATGTTTACATTCTGTAATTGTATAATTATCCACAAATCTCACGTCTCCCTGTCCTAGAAAATATAAAGATTTAGATAAAGATTTCTGAGGAAAATTGCTTTCCAAAGGACATAGTTGCTTGCTTTGTGGGAGACCATTACTCAAGTTTCAATTGAGAGAATGTTCACTGGGGGTTGAATTCCTTCTTAGTATCAAGGAGTACAAGGGCATGGTAAGAGACAGGCAGAAGCACAGGGCAGTGTCTCTCTTTAGGATAGTCTAGGGAGATACCACATTAAAGGGAACAAATTCTAATCATGTGTATTTGAGGTGTGAAAATAGGGATTGTTGCAACTAGACTGCCATTTAACTTCAACTCCACGTAGATGAATGCCTGGTTTATCTGAGAATAGCTTTTCCTCAGTAAAAACTGGCATTTATTTTGCCGCAAGCTATTAATAATCAAAGTAGATTCTCCGGGAAGACATTCCATGACTATGTAAAGGGCACGCTGAATAACTGATTACGTCATCTACATACATGCCCATGTGCTAGTGCCTACCAAGCCCCACCACGTCAGCCTTTCCTCATTCTGTACAATGGTCTTTCAATCCCTCATCAAGAAACTTTTACGTCCAAGTCTGACTTCTCTGCCGATGTCTCTGCCTCCATTTCAGAGAAAATAAAATTGCTATCAATTCTACACACACACACAATTGCATTCCTTCCTTCTTGTTGAAATGGAAGAAATGCCAACTCTTCATGTAACAAGCTAAGTTGTGTCACTCCCGCAAATCCACACTGCTCTGCTAAGCCTCAGAACCATGGAATGTGGTCTTGATTGGGAAATGGTGTCATTTGGGATGGAACCAGTGAAGCTGGTGTGGTGGATTGAATGAGAATAACTCCCATAGGCTGGCTTATATTTCATTACTTGAGCCTCAGTTGCTGGAACTATTTGGGAAGGATTAGTAGGTGTGGCCTTTGTTGGAGGAGATGTGGCAATGGGGGTGGGCTCACTTCATACCTATTTTGATCTCTCTCTCTGTCTCTTGCTTATGGATCAAATGTGAGCTCTCAGTTATTGCTCCAGTATCATCCCTGCCTGCCCGCCCGCCCGCTGCCACGCTCTCTGCCACGGTAACCATGAACTCTGAGCCTTTGGAATTGTGTTTCCTAGTAATCATTTTCCTTTATAAATTGCCTTGGCCATGGCAAAAGTCACTATGACATGTAGGATGGGATCCTCTAGTCCAATATGATTGGTATCCTTATTTAAAAAATGGTTTGGCTATTGCAAAGGGAAAAGTACAAACACCTGGGTGAAGTTGGCTAGCTACAAGCTAATGAACAGGAGCGGGCAGGGATTCATCCGTGGGGCTAGGAAGCACTGCTGCTGACGTTTTGGTTTTAGACCTCCACAATGCTCAGACACCGACACCTCCACAATGCTCGGACACCGAGACCTCCACAATGCTCGGACACCAACACCTCCACAATGCTCGGACACCGACACCTCCACAATGCTCGGACACCGAGACCTCCACAATACTCAGACACCGAGACCTCCACAATGCTCGAACACCGGGTTTCTGCTATTTATGCCCCCAGTGCATTGTGGTACTTTGTCACGTGAGGCCTAGAAAACCATTCAGTGCTGACCTATTCATCAATGCCTTGGCTTTATTATTTGCATTCCAGGAAACATGAAAAAAAGCCTACTCCCTTCATTATCTCTTCACCTTGTTTTCTTTTTTTTTTTTTTTTTTTTGCTTGTGTTAAATATGGTCAGCCCATAATCCGTGTAACACATGCTCATGCATAAAGAACGCCTTGTGACTCCTGTCCCATGCTTCCTCTTCCTAGGGAAAACCCACACTCGCAGGGCGTCTTCTTCAAGTTCCATTTACTTTACGGTCAATCACATACAGGCTTTGCCTAAATGACCTCTGAAACATACTCGCACCTTTACTTCTAATGACCTCTGTGTTAAAAAGTAGTCTTTTCAAGCCCAGCGGATATTTTGTCTTTAGTGACAGGGTTTGTCATTTGCTTTTCTGATACTGGACTTTCTCCGTTTCTCTCCCCGTATGTCTTGCTGCTGCTTGTTTTCTTACTCCTTCTCTTTTTGCTTATAATTTAAGTTTTTCATTTTAAATCTGTCACAGTTCAATATATCGCTTTAGGATGACTTTGGTGACATTTGTATTGATTCACAAATCTAAAATTTTCTATTGTCTCTTAAATCTCAACACTGTGTCTAAATTCCTTTTGACTGGCTTCCTTGTCTATTCAAAGATGTGTATCAAAAAATGTGAGTCACTTCATTGTTCTGTTTCTCCTGTGTCTAGGCTCAAAAGAAGTGTTTCTTTGTCTCTCTGTTTTCCTTGTTCCATGAATAAAATAAAAAGCTAAGTTCTGTTACCACAGCTTCATAGTTTAGGGGTTCCCATGAAAGTTACTTTTCCCGAAGTAGGAACAGAGTTACTGGCATGTGAAAAGTCTGAGCTGGAAGTTAGTGTCCTCAGGCAGATTTAAAATTACCAGAGCCTGGAAGCAACCTAGATGCCCCTCAGCTGAAGAGTGGATAGAGAAAATGTGGTACATTTACACAATGGAGTACTACTCAACGGGAAAAAACAATGGAATCTTGAAATTTGCAGGCCAGTGGATGGCACTAGAAGAAACCATCCTGAGTGAGGTAATCCAGTCACAAAAAGACAAACATGGTATTCACTCACTCATATATGGATTTTAGGCATGGATCAGGGGAGTGCCAGCCTACAATCCCACAGCCAGAGAGTCTGGGAAACAGGGAGGACCCTAAGAGAGATATGCATGATACCCCAGAGAAGGGGAATGAGGCAAGATCTCATGAGCAGATTGGGAGCATGGGAGGAGAGGGGAGAGAGAGCCAGGAAAAAGAGAGGTGGAGAAGAGGAGGGGAAAGAAGGACATGGGATAGCAGGAAGGATTAAGTCCGGGGAAGAACAGAGGAAAGCAGGATGAGAGATACCATAATGGAGGGAGCCTTTGAAGGTTTGAGGGGAGATCTGGCACTAGTGAGATTTCCAGAGATCTACAAGGATGACACCAACTGCTAACCCAAGCAATAGTGGAGAGACTACCTTAAATGCCCATCCCTGATAATGAGTTTGACGACTACCTTATATGCCATCCTATAACCTTTATCCAGTGACTGGTGGAAGCAGAGGCAGACAACCACAGCTAAACATGAACTGAACTCCTGGAACCCAGTTATAGAGAGGGAGGACTGATGAGCAAAGGGGTCAAGACCTGGCTGGTGAAAACCACAGAAACTGCTGACCTGAATAAGGGGGAGCTCTTGCACCCCAGACTGATGGCTGGGAATCCAGCATGGGACTGATCCAGACTCCCTGAATGTGGTTGTCAGTGAGAGGCCTGGACAATCTCTGGGGCCCTGGGCAGTAGATCAGTATTTATCCCTGGCATATGAATGGACTTTGGGTGCCCATCCCACAGAGAGGGATACTCTCTCAGCCTGGACTCTTTGGGGGAGGGCCTAGGCCCTGTCCTGAACAAAATGACAGACCTGGATATCCCCATGGAGGGTGTCACCTTCCCTGGGGAATGGAGTGGGGATTGGGTGGGGGGCCGGGGAGGAAGAAAGGAGGGGAGGGAGAGGGAGCTGGCATTGACAGGTGAGGCAAGCTTGTTGCTAATTTAAATTAAAAAAGTAAAAGTGCCATGTCACTGAATGAAACAGAAGCCTGGCCCCAGAAGGCTGTCAGCAGCGTTGACAGCTGCTACAGCATCAGTAGATGTCTTCTTTCTTTCGTTCTTTCTTTCTTTCTTCCTTCCTTCCTTCCTCCCTTCCTCCCTCCCTCCCTCCCTTCTTCCTTCCTTCCTTCCTTCCTTCCTTCCTTCCTTCCTTTCTTTCTTTCTTTCTTTCTTTCTTTCTTTCTTTCTTTCTTTCTTTCTTTCTTTCTTTCTGTGTTACTACCACTTCCCTAGTTGAGCACCTTCAGTTTCCATCTGGATTATAATGGGCAGTTCCATGTCTCATCTTGCTAACCCCTTTCCAATATACCTCTGCAAAACTGATCTTCCAAAATAAAAATTGAACAATTAACTTCTTAAATCACTGTAATGGCTCTGCCTTGCCCTCTAAAAGAAGGGACCTGTTTCTGACTGGGACCTTGCTCTTTCTCTGTTCTCTTTACCATTTCTTTTCCAGCCCTTTATGCGTGACTGTGTGGATTATATTTATCTCATGAAAAACCCTGCTTTCTTGATCTTGTTTCTTTTTCTACGCATTTCTTCCTTCCTCTCCACCTTGTCCACCATTGGCCCAAAGATGATTACTGACTCTCGCCTTGTGAGCCTGTGAGCTACAAACATGAGACTGATAACTAATCACTCATGCACAATGTATTTCTGTTCAACTGTGTGTCACAGAACATGGTGAGCTCTGTCTTCCAATTCAGTTTGCCTTGGCTTCCAGTGTAAACAGTCCTATTAACAGTTTATATACATTACAAATTAGTCAACTGTTAATTTATATCTCTACATATTGATCTGTTGTGAGGTTGTAGAATAGAAGCCCATACTTAAGAAGGTTGTAGAACAGAAGCCCATACTTAAGAAATTCAGTCCACATCCAAGAAGCTGATTTCAGGTTTTGTTTGTTTTTTTAATTTGAATGCTTAAAATCAAGTCTCATACTGAACAGAACTGGTTGAAGGAAATATGATCTTCGGAATCCTTTGATGAC